CTCCTGATGATTTATCTGGAAGGAAGGATGTCTCCTCTCTTTTTTTTTTTAAACTTTGGTTTGATAGAGTGTCTGTTCTTTGGTTTTTATTCCACTTGGTTTAACTTTAGTACTGGACTAGAGTGGGAGGGTACAGAGTATTCCAGGCAGGGTCCAATATGACAGATCCTGTCCTTCCAGGACTGACTGGTATTCCCAGGTCGTTTTCTCTCTCGTTGCTGTTTCTACCTGGTGGTTTCCATTTCCCACCAGGAATTGTGCAGGTCCCAGCCCAGGCAGTGCAGGAGCCACGTCCAACGGCCAACCACGGAGGGGGGTTTATTTTTAATGTGGTGTGTCCAGACACCCCTGATTTGTGGTAACCAGATGAGGGATTTGGACTGGCAGCCTTCTGAGTGTTTCTCTCCCTGTGTTAATGTGATTAGAGGGGAGATGTGGCAATGTAAAGCTCATGGAAATGAAATTGGATTGCCTGTGGCTGTTGCAGACCTTTGCCTGGCAGTAGGTCCTGTACCCCCTAACACAATTGCTGGGTTCAACACGTCCCCAGTAAAATGCATAACTGTCAATGAAGAGAAATCTCATAATCTGATCCTTTAGTATATGCAATTTAAAGTGGGCACTTAGATACTTTTGCCTCTGGCATGATGCAATTGAGAAGAGACTTTGTTTTTTACCTCTTACAGATAAGAAATGTTACTTCATAGTGAGCCCTTGTGTCCATGTGCCACCTCAACCAGATTAACTCCCTTTCTGGCAGGAGTGTGGAGGATGGTGCAGCAATAGGATGATGTAAAGCTCAGGGAGACACACCTCCTTTAAATTGTCCTGCTCTGTGCTCCCTGTTGTCAGAGCAGGACCATGAGGATGCTCTGGAGTTTTCCAGAGGCAGTTCTCAGTGGCTCAGGGTATTTTCTCAGGGTATTTTCTCTTGGAGTAGCAGTAGAGAAACCACATTTCTTTTTAGCAAAGTTCTTCTTTTTTGTGTTTTCCAGGGTCCCACTTTTCTATGTGCCTTTCTGAACCTCCCTGCCATGGAGATGTCTCACGACCACCACAGGAACAGCTCCATGTTGCCAGCCACTCATCCTCCTGAGCATCTCCACTCCACAGCCCCCCCGGGACACAACCATGGATCTGACATGATGGCAATGGTGAGTGGCAGAGTCAGCATTAACCACAGAGCTTCTCCTTGTCTGTGCTTCAGGGTAACTTGTCATCTCAAAGACTGTGCTCTTAAGAACTGGAGATTAAACTGAACTTTGGAAGGCAGGAAAACCCAGACCCCACTGTGACTCTTCTGGGGTGAGGCACGAGGGGATGTGAAACATGACATGGATTTCAGGGCTGGAGATCCTTTGGCAAAACGGTCTGTTCTTGCCAAAACCTTTGCAGCAGCCAGGCTGGGGTGTGCTCTGCAGCCAGCTAAAGGCAGGAGTGCAGAGTGAGCATTTTCCTGCCAGGAGCAGATGGATGGAGCTCTCCAGGCTGTCAGTGGCAGTGAGAGCCCCAGGCAGCACCGCAGGGTGAGGGGCTGTGATCTGCACCCACCAGCTCTGTGCCCTTTCCCTCCTGAACCTTCGAGCTCACTTTGGGGAGCAAAGTGTTGCCAGGGCTCTTTCCCGTGTTGGCACCGAGGTCCTGGATCCTGCTGCTCCAGCTGACTTTGATTCTAGCAGGTCCAGACTTGTGCATTCTGGCACCACTGAGGCTTTGTGGAGATCCTGCCCAGGGTTTCCATGGAAATGGCCCTAGGATCTGTGTTGCGTGTAACCAGTTCTAGGAACTCTGTCAGCTTTTTCTCCCTTTTCTAAATACTTTTGGAGTGAGTTTGAGATTATTAGAACATGTCTGTTTAGGATTAAATTTCAAAAGAAGGGGAGAGAGTGTGCATTTCCATTTCACATGAGAGTGTTCTCAGGAGGATGTTTTACAAACCTTCAGTTGGAGTTTGCCAGCTCTGTGCCAAGGAGGGAATCAAGAATTGCTGTGCTTATATTGCAACCAGTATCACAAGAAGAAAGGACTAGAACAGCCTCCCCTCAGTGAGCCTGGCCCAGGTGGAGCTCAGAGTCCAGCATTGCTGCTGCTCTCCTTGTAAAGCTCTCCCTGTAATCCCACACCTTAGTATTGGCATCCTCTGGGCCATTATTTTCCATATAAATGTCATTTCTTTACAAATGTCAGGTGTTCAGTGGATAGTTACGAGACCCTGCCTTGCCCTGCAGCTGAAAACTGTGAGTAATTACACAAGATTTTGAATGAATATGGCACATAAATCTGTCAGGAAAGGCAGTGCATAGGCACAGCATCTTATTTAACAGGCTGAGCACAGTTAAGGTGTGTTTTCCCATTCCTCAGTAGCTCCAAGTAACAGGCTCTGGTTCAGCTGCAGTTCTTTGGTTTGTGTGGTTTTTGTTTTAAATGTAAAAATGTTAAATTCATTGGAGAGATGAAAGTGCTCTCTGAAAGCTGTTCCACAGTGATTTCTGCTCTGGGGGTAATGAATGTCTGCTGATCCTCACAGATGCTGAGATGAATCATTAATTCTGAGCTCCAGCAAATAACCTTAATTAAGGAGGGTTCAAACAGCAGTTCCTCTTGCGTGGTCCGTACTTTCCATGTGAAAACACAGTGTGCAGCTGTGGCCAGGACATGCCAAACTGCCCTGTACTTACCTGGATGGGAAGTTTATGTCACCTCCAGCTGGCCAGGGGGTCACTGATATCTCCCCTTCCCACAGCACTCACTGTGCAGCCTCAGGAGCCCTTCTCTTCTCCCAGGGGAAGTTGTGGTCCTGCTTTACATCTGATACACCTTGTGGTACCTGTGTTTAGGCCTCTGTTTCCCATGGGATATTAGAAGTTCCATAGGGAAGCAATTCTGCTGGCACAGGGACCAGAGGACTCAGCTGTACAACCCTCCCCTGTGTGAGCTCAAAGCAGGTCATGGTGGAGAAAGGAAGGTGCCCTGTACCCAACCCCTGAGAGGATGAGGAGGAAAGGATGAGCTCCATGGAGACATCCCCAATCCCTGATACTTCTGATGCTGAGGAGAAAAGGAGCTCCAAAAGCAAGAGAAGGCACCTGCCTGTAACAGGTACCGTGGAGGGGCAGTGCCTTCTGCCCAGGGCTGCTCACTGGAACCTGGAGCATTATCCCTTTGTGTGTGCTACACTAATTACTGGAGATTCACTACCCTTTCTTCATGTTCTGTGGTGACCAGCTGAACTGATCTGAGCTCCTGTCGTGGGACAAACCCTGTTGCTGACTCCTCTGAGCTCCATCTGGGATGAGCTGCTCAGGCTCACCTTGGTGTTCTTTGTGTTTTGGGCAGGCCATGACTTTCCACTTCAGCTATGAGAATGTGCCATTGCTGTTTTCTGGACTTACAATCAATTCTCCTGGAGGTTAGTAACACTGTCTTGTCCAGTCCAAACAAAACATTTGCAATTGGTGTTTAAGGATTAATGTTTCAGGAATTGTTATTTATGCCAAAAATACAGAGATAGGCTGTGTTGAGTCTGGTTTAAATGGCATCTGTGGGGTGAAAGGGAGATTTTATGTAATTCAAGAATTGGGTCTTATTAGCAAAAGTGATTGCTGGTTTCACTTCCTGGGTGAAATTCCAGTTAGTGTGTGGATGGAATTCCCATTTCCCACCTGTGCATGGACACGGTGCCCTGCCAGGGCCTGCACAGCTCAACGTGGTTGTTCAGCCACCCAGTGACTCTTGTGACAGGTTTTGTTGCACAAAGACAATGATGTTTCCTCTCTTGTCAGAGATGGCTGGTGCTTTTGTGGCTGTCTTCTTCCTGGCCATGTTTTATGAAGGCCTTAAGATTGCCCGGGAGTGTCTGCTCCGGAAATCCCAAGTGAGCATCCGCTACAACTCCATGCCAGTGCCCGGCCCCAACGGCACCATCCTGATGGAGACACACAAAACTGTTGGGTAAGGGTTTCACTGCATTCTACAGCAAATCCCTCCAGGTGGAACTGGGACAGAAGGAACTCGATGCAGCCAGTACTGAGTGTACTGACAGGCCGGGACACTGGTGGGCACTGGAGGACACTGGGCTTGGCCAACCTCGAGGATGGGGCACAAAAGGAGGAAAGGAGAGCAAGGAGCCAGATGAGCTTGGGGGTTTTGTGATGAACACACCTGGGGAGTTCCCAGGAACAGAGTTTGGGTGTTACAGGCAGTGATCCTGACAGGAAATACTTAGAACTTCTGTTGACAGGTAGTCAAAGCTACTGTGCAGAACAGGAGCCCTTCTGCTTATTTAATGGGGGGTAAAATAAGCTTGACAAAGTCTGTTTCTCATTAAAAGTTGTGTTCTCCCAGCAACTTCCATGCTTGCTTTGCCGGTAGGCAGCTCTGTGGGGAAAACCCCAGCTCCAGGTTCATGCAGGAGTCCCTGTCCAGGCTGTTGTGACCTTCTCTGCCATCTCATGCCCTCCCTGCTGCCCTGGCAGCCTCAGAGCCGAGCGTTCTTTGGGAATGGGCATATCCCAGCTGTCTCCTGTTTGCTGACTGTTATTTGGGTTTGTGTTCCCAGACAGCAGATGCTGAGCTTCCCCCACCTCCTGCAGACTGTGCTGCACATCATCCAGGTGGTGGTCAGCTACTTCCTCATGCTGATCTTCATGACCTACAATGGGTACCTCTGCATTGCCGTGGCAGCAGGAGCTGGCACCGGGTACTTCTTCTTCAGCTGGAAAAAGGCAGTTGTGGTGGATATCACAGAGCACTGCCATTAACACTGGGTGCTGCCCAGAGGCCTCTCCACTCCCCTGCTCCCTGGAAGTGCAGCCATCCCAAGGACTGGATCATTCCTGAGCTGCAAGAGAATCACGATAAAGGAAAACCCACCACAGGTTCCTGGCTGGGGTGCAGGGATGTGAGGAGCTGGGCTGTGCTGCTCCCCCTGACTCCTGAGAGTCCCTGGCAGCCCTTCTTGGCCAGGATTTACTTTATTCTTAGATTATGCTGTGATTGAGATTAGCTGGCTGACAGAAATGTAGAAATTATTCTTTTAAAAAAGAAAACAAAACCATTTTATTTTTAAATTGTAAATGCTCATCAGTGAAGGTTTGATGAACAGCAGGAAAAGCTCAAAGTTGCCCATAGAGCCCTCTGTGTGTGAATGGCTGTTTTAATTTGGTTTTTTTTCAATGTGTACATAATGCCAGGGGAGGGATCACCCTGGCATTGTGGCTTTTGGGGCCAATGACACCTTCTGCTGCAGAAGGACTCAGCCTCTGAGGAAGATTTGGTGCTGCACATCAGACACTCAGGTGTGTCCTGGCAAGGGAGGACTTTGACCCGAGGATGTGACCCGTGTGCTCCAGGGAGTGGATGAACCTGCCCTCCAGGCCCACCGGAGGATGATGAGTGTTGTCAGTCTGATGTATCCAGCAGCTTTACTCAGCCTCCAGGGAGAACACTGGAGTTTGGCTGCCTTCCCTTCCCAATCATGGAAACACACGGAGCAGACACAGGACAAGCTGTGTATTTACAGGGCAAAAAATTCTAAATAAACCATTGAACCTGCAGGTACTTCATGTGGAACTGCACCAGGATGGATCCAGAGCTAGACTTTGGGGTTACTAAAACTAGTTCTGTAAATGAGGTAGAGCTGAATAATGATTTCATGACACTAAAGTTAAAATGGCTGGAGAGGGAATTCCTGGATGGAGCTGAAGGGGTTAAACAACCACGTTCCTGTAAAGGAGAGATTTGGGGAAGAGGAGAAGGGAAACACAGGACTACAGCAGCCTTCAGTCTCTTCTCAGGTGAAGTTTGGAGCAGCTTGGGCTGGTTAAAAAGTGTTCCTGAGCCAGATGACTCCTCTTTGTCCCAGCAATCCCACTGTGCCCATGCTGGGGCTGCAGAGCTCTTGCTGAGTGCTGTGAGCTCTGCACATCTCACAGGGCTCTGAGAGGGGCACAACCAGCCCAGGGCTGGCTTTGGGGATCCTGGGGAGCAGCTGTGGTTCAGCACTTGGATATTAAGCTGCTGGTTGGTGTAGGGAATGTGGAGCAAAGCTGGAGTCTTCACTCTCCACAGGATGCCCAGTTTGTGCCTGTAACTGGCTGAAAGGGAAGACATTTGGAATTTGAGAAGGGCACTGAGAACAGGCACCGCTTTCAGAGCAGGACTGGTGTCTGGGATGTGCCATGAGAACAGGGAATCCTTCTGGGATGACACAGGAGCATTTTTTCCTCTGGAGATGCTGCTGGCAACTGTTGGCAGCAGCTGTGTGAGGAAAGGGGATCCTTGGAATGGCTGTTTAGCCCAGCAGCCTTTCAGGGCAAGGCCATCCCTGCTCCTGGGAGCTCCATGGTGCTGGTGCTGCTCCCTGAGCACAGAGCCCACCCTCTCCACCTTTTGGGAAGGAAATCCATTACTGTTGCTGCCAGCACTGGAATTGCACCTAAATTCAGCCCTCCTGGTCAGATGTTTATTTGGACATCCTGTTTTCTCTGGACAGTGCAAATAGAGAATAAAAGGAGCTGAGTTAAAAGCAGGTTTAGGTTCCTGGTTACTGGGTGAAAGAGGCAAAGTTATTTTCATGGAAAAGTTCTGGCCACCTCCTGGTGAGAGACAGGAAAAACGCTTCCCCAGTCTGGTCTTTGAAGGGAGTTATGTCTCTGACAGGCTGCAAACCCACTGGTACCCTCTGCTCCTGTCACAGGGAAGTCTCTGCTGTGCCCTCCAAGCAATTGTGGTTCTCCATGGGGCTGGAAAACTGCCCCTTCCCATCCCTGGGAGAGCTGAGAGCAACGTTAGTGTTTGGCAGAGAAAACTGACAATCCCTTCCCAGCCCTGGGAGAGCTCAGAGGAAATCCTGGTGTTTGTCAGGGAAAACTGGAGCTGCTAAATGCTGGAGATGTGGGTGATGATGTGGATGGTTTGCACTGTGGGGCTCGGCCCCTGAAGGAGCTCAGAGCCAACGATTCCAGCACTGTTCCCATCGGTTTGTCCGGAAGGAGCTGGAGTTGGTACCGGTACAGGATGGCTGAGCACAGGGAATAGTCAGGAGTGGCTTTCTGTGGTGACAATAATTATTTCATATACCTCTTGCTGTGTATTTCTTTGAACCACAACCTGCTTGGCCTGACCCTGCTGTCACCTTTCACCACCTTTCCGTGTATCCAAGTGACCAGACTCGAATTCTCTGATTGATCAGAGGTGGATGACTTGGAGATCAGGCTGTGGCTCTTACAGTGTAAATTTGGTTCTTGTTTGCTTCTCTGCCTCGTTCTACATGTAGCACCTGTGCCCTTGGAATTGTTTCCCCCTGGATGAGAACCTCTGCCTTCAAGGGCTCCTCTCCTGCCCCTGCTCACACCAGAGAGGACACAGCTTTGTCTGCTCTGACATCACCCCCAAACATGCTACATGTGTGTTGACACAGGAATTGCATGTCCTCAGTCTCCTAGCCATGAGAGCCCTCACCTCCCTGTTACCAGGACACCTTTAAATTCAGGCAACACAGAGGCTGAATTTAAATTTTCAGCTTGGGAGCCTGCCAGGGCAAAGCCATCCCTGCTCCTGGGGGCTCCACGGGGCTGCTGCTGCTGCTGCCTCAGCACAGAGCCCACCCTCAGCACCCTCTTGGGAAGGAAATCCATTACTGCTGCTGCCAGCACTGGAATTGCACCTCCTAAAGGCAGCCCTCCTGGGTTGATGCCAGCTGTTCATTTGGACATTCTCTTTTCTCTGGGCAGTGCAAAAAGAGATTAAAAGGAGCTGAGTTAACAGCTTTATGTGCCTAAAGAGCTAAAAAAAAAAAATCTCCTTTTTTTCCAGTGTGACAGGGAAGTGCCACTGACCTCAGTGACAGGAGTCTCCCAGGTGGCTGGCAGGTGCTCCAGCTGCCTCCCACAGCCTGTCTGGAGCATTGGGAGCCCGGGATGCCCAGGGAAGGTGTGGAGGGAAGTGGCTGTGTCCTCCCTGCTCCTGGGCTCACTGCCCAAGGCACAGCTGGGGAAGGGACGTGTCCTGTCCGTGTGTCCCCCCTGCTGGGGCTGTGCTTTCCTTAGTTCAGTGTGACAATCCAGAGGAGCCACCTCTCCGTGTCCCAACCTCCCCCTTCCCTCCAGATCCCACTGGCTGTGTGTTGCCAGCCCTGTGCTTTGGCAGAGCCTGAGCAAAGCCTGACCTCCCTGTGGGTGGGATCTGCTCTGGGGCAGCCCCAGCCCCTCTGCTGCCCGAATTTAAGGTTGTCCTGTAACACAGGGAGCTGAGGGCTCTGATGGTTGTAAGATGTGAGGACAGTAAATTCCTGTTGACACACATGTATCATCTTGGGCTGTAATGTCCTGTGCCTGTTGTGTCCCTGATGTTTGGTCTCCACCCACTGTGCCTCTGGATTATCATCCTCGAGGGAGCACAGAGTATCCAGCTGTGTCCCTCAGCTGGCTTTTGTTGTTTTTTTCGGTGCCTTTTGAGTTTGTCTGGAGCCAGTCCCACCAAACTCAGCAGGATTTCTAGTTTTGTTTACAGTGGACTGTCATTTTTGGTTTTGCTCTTGCTCTTTGTGGAGGTAACTCGTCTGATGTTACTGTGAATATCAAGAATTCCCTGTATATAATTAACCAATAAACTAGATTGCATTTTACTGTGGTGGGGGTGTGTTTTGTAGACAATCCTCAGTGCCCCCCTCAGAGGGAGCAGCAGGGCCCAATGTCCCTGTTCAGGGAGTGGGAATGAGGAGCAGAGTCCTCTGGGCCTGAGCAATTCACCTTGGAGCTGCTGGAATGGGAATGTGGGAAGTCACTGATGCTGAGTTTCTGTTTGTTCCAGCCCAGTCACACTTTGCAGGTGATGGAGAGAGGAGTTGGTGTCTCACAGAGCTGCCTTCCCTAGACAGGGAAGAATCCAGGACAGGAATTCAGGGAGCTGTAACAACCTCCTGAGGTGTTGCCCTCTCAGAGCTGGGCCCTGCTGGGAATGCCAGGACAGCAGAGAATCCCTGAGCATTCCATATGGTGTCAGACAGGAAAGGCAGCTCTGCTCCAGGCCAGGCTGTGGCTCTTCCCAGCTGGAAAACAAACATTTAAGTTCTGCACATTCGGGGCATCTACAACACGTGAAGCCTCAGTGTAACTAAAATCCAGTTTGGAGCATTGCTTGGGACACTGAAAAAACAGAACTGGAGCTGTCCTGGAAGATGGTAGAAAACAGCTACTAAATTCCCTGTGGGTGTGCAGGTCCCAGGGTTGCAGGGAGCAGGGTTTCCTAAACACCACCATCTGCTCAGATTTTATAAGTTGGTTCCTTCAAGTCCCCTCACTCTGTGCCAGAGTCTGTCCCCTCCTCTGTGGGGCTCTGCCCCCAGTCTCACCTTCCAGAGCCCAGGCACTGATGGGGGTAAATCCAGGGATGTGCTGAAAAAATCACTCTGCCTTTGGGCTTTTCATCCATAAGGAAATACTTGGTGATCTTTGATGCAAGCAGTAACAGTCCCTGGGGCTCCACTCCCAGGGTGACAAACCAGGGCAGCTGAAGTGACACAGGTGGAAGGAGGAACTGTAAAGGAAAAACTGCTTAGTCAGGAAACGTGGGATGTCATTCCATCATATCCATGTGCCCAGTGCAACATCCAGGTGTGCAGCCATTCCCTGCTCAGGGCCCAGCTGTGACACGGATTGGGAAGCAGCTTTGGGACACGTTTAACAGACACAGGGGATTCTTTCCTGCCTCCTCAGGAGAGGGCAGGGCAGCACCTGGAAGCAGAGCCTGAGCACCCAGAGCTGTGGAACCGCTGCCTTCAACCCAAACCACCCATCAGACACCTCCCAGGACCTTCCTCGGTGGGCAGGGCTGGAGGTTCCCATGGAACATCCCAGGGGCTGGTTTAGGATCAGCAAATCACCCGATCCCCGAGGATCCTCCCACAGGGTTTTACCTCCGGGTGTTCCCATTTCCAGCAGTGCTTAACAATTAACACGATTTAACAATCGTGTGCTTGTTATGATGTTTTTTGTTTTGTTTTGTTTTTTAAAAAAGGAAGTGTTTATTTAAAACAAAACACTGGGCCAAGAGGGGCGTTCATGGGTGTGTTAACCGAACTTAAAAAACTAAGGCAACCGAAAAGGGAGAGCGCCGAGGGGGAGGGCGAGGCCCCTCCGGGCGGCGCTGCGGCCCCGGCGCCGCGCTCAGAACTCGAAGGTGCCGAAGTGCGCGGTCCGCCCGCCGGCCTTGGGCTGCGGTTTGTACCCGATGCGCTCATTGATGAGCTGCTCGCGGCTCTTGTGCTCCGTGCCCAGCGCAAGCGCCGCCGCCTCCTCCCCGCCCGCCGCCGCCTCCGCCGCCTCGTCGCGCTGCTTCCTGCGGCCCTGCGGGCGAACGGGCCGGTCAGGGCCGGGGGGCGCGCCCGGGGAGCGCCGCGCCCGGCCCCGCGCGCACCTCCAGCTCCTTCCGCACGCTCTCGAACTCCTCGATGTCGTCCAGCTTCAGCTCCAGCCGCGTCGGCTTCCGACGGAGCATCGCGACCGGCGACAGCGGCACCGGGATCGGGATCGGCCCCGGGACCAGCCCGAGCTCTCCCGCCCTCCGCGCTCCCGCCACTCCTCCCGGCGTGCCCCGCGTGTCCCGCCCTTAGCGGGCAATGCACCTCCCGGCGTGTCTCGCGCGCCCCGCCCTCCCCGCCACACCTCCCGGCGTGCCTTGCGCGCTCCGCCTTTAGCGGGCAATGAACCTCCCGGCGTGCTCCGCGCGCCCCGTGCTCAGCCCTCTCCGCCACACCTCCCGGCGTGCCCCGCGCCTGCTGCTGCCCGCCCGCCCTGCCGCACCTCCCGGCGTGCCTCGCGCGTCCCGCCCTTAGCAGACAACGCACCTCCCGGCGTGCACCGCGCGACCCGGAAGTGCCCGTGAGGCGCTGGATGCCGAGTGCGTCCAGTCCCATTCCCGTCCCATTTTCCGTTCTTTTCCCGTTTCCCTGTGCTGTTCCCGGTCCCGTTCCCGCCATGGCTGCCGCGCGGGCTCCGGCGGCGCGAGCCGGGGCCCGGCCCCCCGAGGTGGGTGTGTCCGTGGCGCGGGGGCGGCCCCGGGCCCGTTCCCCGCATGTGGCAGCGGCACCGAAGAGGGGCCGCGCGGGGGTCGCGGCGGCTGCTGCCGTGTGGGGTTTGCGGAGCCGCCGGGGCCGGAGCGCTCGCGTGTTTTCCTGCATGTTTTTCCGAATCCTTTAGTTTTTCCCATGGGGTTGTGCCGCCTCTCGGCGGGGGAAGGAGCCAGGCACTGCTCACCTTCACCCGCCTTCCAGGAGCTCGGGGACGGCTGTGCTGGGGCTCAGTGGGAGGAGGAGAAGCCTCGTGTTCTAAAGCTTCGTCAAAAAATAAATCCCGCAGGGCCTTAAACCCGAGCTCCGTGCAGATAATAAACAAGGACACAGCACAGCCTGATGGATGCAGTTTAACGTGGCATTATACTTTTGCCCTTGGGACATAAATAACCTCACTGTCCAGGGGCTGCTCCATCCCTGGAAATGTCCAAGGCCAGATTGGAGCCACCCGGTCGAGTGGAAGTGTCCCTGCTCTTGGCAGGGGTGGAGTGAGATGAACTCTTTAAGTTCCCTCTCAACCCAACCCAGTGTGTGATTCCATGAAACCCCATTCCAGGGCCTCTCCATGTTTCACACCCCATTTTCCCTGGCACAGCCAGGCTGTTTGTTGTCTCTTTGTACCCAAACTGTTTGTGTCCCTGCAGCCCCCCAAGGCCAAGCCCACCGAGGAGGGCGATGCCCCCCCGGCCAAGAGAGCCCCGATCTTCTATGGGAGCCTGGAGGAGAAGGAGAGGGAGAGACTGGCCAAGGGGGAGTCAGGGCTGCTGGGCAAGGAGGGCATGAAGGCTGCTCTGGAGGCTGGGAACATCAACATCAGCAGTGGTGAGGATGGAAACACCCTTTGTTTTATTCCCTTTGTGAAATGTGACACTTCCAAATGCCTGTTGTTATCCCTCCTGTCAGATGTGACACTTCCCAACGTCTCTGGGCACCATCTCAGAGCAGGAACAGGATGGGCACCTTGGATCTTCCCATGTGGGAGGGATCCAGTGGCAGAGCCCTGGAACAGCTGCCCGGGGAGGTGTGGAGTGTCCCTCTCTGGGGACATCCCAAACCCACCTGGATGTGTTCCTGTGTCACCTGCTGTGGGTGACCCTGTCTGGGCAGAGGGGTTGGGCTGAGTGGGCTCCAGAGGGCCCTTCCAGCCTGAGCCATCTGTGATCCAGTGATTCTGTGATCCTGTATTTCCCTGTTTCTCCCTGTGCTCCCTGGCGGCTTCTCTGTGATGCTGAGATCCTTGATGTCTCCCCTGTGCTCCCTGTGTTCCCTGGTGGCTCCCCTGTGCTCCCTGGTGGCTCTCTGTGCTCCCTGGTGTCTCCCTGTGTTCCCTGCTGGCTCACTCGTGGCTCCTCTGTGCTCCCTGATGGTTCCCTGTGCTCTCTGGTGTCTCCCTGTGGTCCCTGATGTCCCACCTGTGCTCCCTGGTGGCTGCCCTGTGATTGTTATCCTGTGCTCCCTGTGCTCCCTGGTGTCTCCCTGGTGTCCCCCCCGTGCCCAGCTGTGTTTTCTCTGTGCCAGGGGAGGTGTTTGACCTGGAGGACCACCTGAGCGAGCGCCAGGCCGAGGTGCTGGCGGAGTTCGAGCGGCGGAAGCGCGCGCGGCAGATCAACGTGTCCACGGACGACGCCGAGGTCAAGGCCTGCCTGAGGGCCCTGGGGGAGCCCATCACCCTCTTTGGAGAGGGGCCTGCAGAGCGCAGGGAGAGGTGCTGTGTCTGCTGGGGGGCACTCCGTGGCTACTAAGTTCCTGCTGTTTTCCTGGGAGAGCTGGGGTGTTCAGCCCGGGGAGGAGAAGGATCCAAGGAGACCCCTTCCAGTGCCTAAAGGGGCTCCAAGAGAGCTGGAGAGGGACTTGGGGCAGGACAAGGGAAAATGATTTCCCACTGCCAGAGGGCAGGGCTAGATGGGATATTGGGAAGGAATTGTTCCCTGGGGGGGTGGGGAGGCCCTGGCACAGGTTGCCCAGAGAAGCTGTGGCTGCTCCTGGATCCCTGGAAGTGTCCAAGGCCAGGTTGGACGAGGCTCGGAGCAACCTGGGCTAGTGGAAGGTGTCCCTGCCCATGGCAGGGGGTGAATGGGATGAGCTTTAAGGTCTCTCCCAACCCAAACCAGCCTGTTAATCTATTCTAAGAACCCCAAGGCAGAAGGAAGGTCTCATTGATGATTTGTCAGGTGAGCTGAGGAATCACTGACTAAATCCAACTTCACGTGTTTCTTCCCAGGTTGAGAAACATCCTCTCAGTGGTCGGCACAGACGCATTAAAGAAGACCAGGAAAGATGATGACAGGTCAAAAAAGTCCAAAGAAGAGGTAAGGGGGTCTCCTGTCCTCTGAGAGTTGAGGGAGAGATCTGGTCTCTGGTAGATCCAGGCCTCCTGGTTTTGGTCAGTGTGTGGATTCTCATGTCATCCCTTCAGGCTTTTCCTGTGTTCTCCCTTTTAACAGACCTGTGGCAATGTTTGGTCTCAGTGAGGAGCACCAAGTGTGGTTTGCACCCCCAGGCCAAGTTCTGAACTGCACTCAGTGTGCAAACCAGGAGAGCAGGTGTTTGGGCTCTCACTCACCATAGCAGGTTCTTTATTCTTGGTTGTCTTCACACTTGGGAAGAAAAAAATATGTTCCTACTGCTGCATCTCTTTCTCCCTCTGATATTTTTTCTGCCTCTGTCTCTTCTGAGTCCATTTTCCTGTATTATTTTTGAGCTGTGCTTTAAGAAATAATTTCTACAGCTCTGGGCTCTCTCTTTACTGGGTGATGTGTAAAACAGGAGTTATGTGTCAGTAAGTCCAACCCAATCAGTGTTCAGTTGGAATGTTCCTGGCAGTGTGTCAGGATCGGATCCATAGGGCAGAGACTGTGGTTTATCTCTCTTAATCCCTTTTTCTGGGGCTTATACTGATGCATAATGGCCTTAAAAAGGGGCCAGAGCCCAGCAGGGTTTGGGAGCAGGTGCTGTGAGGAGGCAGCTGAGGGGAATGAGCTGAGGAGCTTTTCCATCACTTTTATTCCTGTTTTTACAGTATCAGCAAACCTGGTACCACGAGGGCCCACGGAGTCTGAAAACAGCCAGGCTGTGGCTGGCAAACTACTCCCTGCCCAGGTGAGAGGGAACTGCACAAATGAGGAGGGACATGCAGCCATTTGTCAACTCCAAGGGCTGATCCCACTGTGGGTACCACTGGAAAGCCAGGGAGTGGGGAGCACACACTGGGAAGCAACTCCAGAGAGCCCAGACCTTGAACTCTCGGGGACTGATCCAGCATTAGCCCAGTTTGGGGGAGGAGGAGGAGGGCAGGGCCTGTTTGCAGAGCAGCGAAGGGGGAATGCAGGGAAGGGGGAATGCAGGGAAGGGGGAATGCAGGGAAGGGGGAATGCAGGGAAGGGGCTCATCCCTCCCCTGTGCTGTTCCCAGGGCAGCGAAGCGGCTGGAGGAGGCCCGGCTGCTCAAGGAGATTCCCGAGGCCACCAGGACATCCCAGAGGCAGGAGCTGCACAAATCCCTGCGGGTATGTTGGGCACTGCCCTCCTGCTGTGATCCTGCAGAGAGCTCAGCAGGAATTGAGCTGCCCCAGGTGCACCCTGGTCTCTGAACTGTTGGGAGGCTCTGCTTTTCCTCTCTCCCTGTCTGTGTAAAGCATGTTCTGACTCCTGCACGGTGATCCAGGGAGATGGATTTTGTCCCTGTGCATGGCAGAGGGGTCAGAGACATCCCTGCCTTGCCTTACCACTTGGCTGTGAAGCTAAAGGAATGTATTCCTGGCTTTGGCTGGGTTTGGCTGGCTGGGAAGGGACATAAAACCCTGGAGATCACCCCCAGCTCCGTGGGACAGAGCATGGCTGGGATGGCTCCCAGGTGCCCTTTCCGAGCACACTAAGCCAGATTCCCGGCTTAACCAAGCAGAGGCTCAGGCACAGCATGTGCTGCCCCCCTAATCCTGTTTGCTCCAGAGCCATCAGCTGCCAGAGGATTTGCTTCTCCCCTCCGTGCCCTACACTGCTGGTCCATCTGTCTGGTTGGGTTCCTTGGATGAGTTGTGGAAAGAGGGCAAACTCCAGGCAGTTCTGTGTCAGGGCTGCAGAGCTGGGGGCTGTGGGGACAGGTACCATGGGTGGCCCTGGGGGGCTGAGCTGAACCCCCAGGCCGTGCTGGCTCCCCTGGGACAGGCTGGCCCTGGCCCTCCCACGTGGAGCTGCAGCGGCTCTGAGGCAGCTCCTCCCTTGGAATGTGACTTTCCAGGGGCCTCTGCCTCCTCCTGCACACATTTGGCTCCATCACCTCAGGCTTTGGCTTTGGCAGGGCCTTGCTCTGGGCTGGCTGTACTCCAGTCATTGATTGTTTTCTTTGTGTTTTTACAGTCCCTCAATAACTTCTGCAGCCAGATCGGGGACGATCGCCCGCTGTCCTACTGCCACTTCAGCCCCAACTCCAAGCTCCTGGCCACAGCCTGCTGGTGAGATCTCTGTGGCTGCACTGCTTTAGGGGCTGGATGAGCACAGCAGGGAAGGACAGGGGTGTTCTTGGAGGTTTGGGAATCGTGAGAGTCCAGAAATGTTTTTATTTCCTATTCTGAGTTCTTGTCACTTCGTTTTAGAGCCGAGCAGAGATTTCAGTCTGAGCCTGTTGGTTTCTGTGCTGGTTGCCCAAAGTGTGTTGCTGTTTCAGTCACTGCAGAACCCCCAGAGTGGCTTTGCAGCTCTGTTTGATCTGTTCCTTGACATTCCTGTCTCCACTGACATCCATTCCTTGTGTTCCACAGGAGTGGGCTGTGCAAGCTCTGGTCTGTGCCTGACTGCAACCTGGTTCACACCTTGCGAGGTACGAGCAGCCCTCACTGAGGCTCTTGGCTTGGTGCTTTTGTTCCTCTCTGGGCTGAGCTCCCACATCTGAATTACTTTGTGACTCAAAATATCCGATTTTGGCAGATTTCTTTCCTACTTGAGAGCATCACTGGGGCTTGGGAGCCTGGGAATGTGTCAGATAATCAGGAGGGAGAGCTGGGTTTGAGCTCAGACCTCAGCCCTGAGTTTGCTGTTTCTGATTCTGAACAGTCTCTTGTTTGGTTTCAAAACCTGGATTTGATTTTTGTTATAAACACCAGCAGTTTTGGGCAGGTCACTTGACAACAGTGAGGTTCTTTGAGCAGTGGTCACAACTTGGACTAAATACAAATGTGAGCACAAATCTCCTGATTCATATGTTGAATTTTCACTGCCCTTTGAGTGTTACAAACCTCAGTGTTCTATACTCTGACCCAGGGCTACTGGAAGTGCAGTTTGGCTGTTGTCAGGAGAGGTGTGACTGGGGGTTTCAGGGCATTGAGGACACAGGGAAAGTGTTCACTGGCTCCTGACTCCTCAGTAATAAGGAAATGCTGCTTTTCTGAAGAACCAGCCAAGATCACAGGGCAGATTCTGAATTTTGGTTTTCCTTTCCCTTCAGGACACAGCACCAACGTGGGAGCAGTTGTGTTCCACCCCAAAGCCACCGTGTCCCTGGACAAGAAGGATGTCAGCCTGGCCTCGTGTGCTGCTGATGGCTCTGTCAAACTCTGGAACCTGGAAAGGTCAGAACCATTCCAGGCAGGCACAGCTGCAGCATTGCTGCTCTGGGGTTATCTGTGTTCCTAAACATCAGACACTGACCATCCTCCTGCAAATATGACCTCTTCTTGTGGCTATCCCAGTGCCTCAGTATGGGCCACCTCTTCCCTGGGAAGAGAGATCACCCTGGTTAGGGAGTCAGGGTGAGGGAGATTGAAAGGAATTGAGTCAGAGTTGCTGGGGGGGATGGATGGGAGGCTTGGGGATTGTTTCATTCTGACCTTTCGTTCAGGAGAAAATTTCCCCTCTCGGATATTAAGAAATGAACTTTTGAGTGATTGGAAAGCACCAGGGTTCAGAGAGGGACTGACCAAACACACAGCCAGGCACAAAAGCTTCAGCCTGTGCTGAAAAGCAGTGGCTGTCCCTGCACAGTGTAGTTTTGGCAGATGGGCAGCATCTCAGGCCTGTGAGGAGGAGACTGGTGGAGGTACTGAGCCCCAGCATCACCTGCAGAGCACCCAGGAAGGGCAGGCAGCTCCCACATTCCCAGCTGTTTATCCTTGGCTGAAAATCACCATTTCTAGCAGCAGAAGTGCCCTGTGCAAAGGGACAGGGGGTCGTTGGCCTCATGTGATCACGTCTCTTAATTAACCAGTGGAAAGAAAGTTAACTGCTGTTTGGGTCATCTGCTGAAGGCTCCTGACCTGCTGCCTCTCATTTTGGGAGAATAAATGTTCACTCCATCCCACCTCCCTGCAATCCCTCAGAACAGCAGGATTTGCTGCAGTTTGGGATGTTCTGTGTGTTCTCAGTAAACTCCCAGCAGCTCGGGTAGTCTGTGGTTTGCTTCTGCACTTCTAAAGTGCTAATGACAAGAGAACTGTTAATTTTCCAGAATAATAATCACCATCATCATCCCAGGAGAGCTTAATAACCAAGAGGAGTGGATAGAGGGTTCCACTCAGAGCTTTAGGAGCGGGAACCAAAGGCAAATACAGAGTTTTTACAACTGTGATGTTCATGTGTGGTTTGATTTGATCAGCAGATCTTTTGCTGCCTCACAATGTGTTTGCAAAGGCCTGGCACCTCTGGCCAGTGCCCAAAGGGTTGTTGTGTGTTTCAGTGATGAGCCCATGGCAGATATCGAAGGACACAGCATGAGAGTGGCCCGTGTGATGTGGCACCCGTCGGGGAGGTTCCTGGGCACCACCTGGTATGGACACTTGGGGATTTGCATGGACAGCATGACCATGGGCTGTCCCACTGGTGGCCCAGTGGTGCCAGGGCTCGTCCACAGCAGAGCCTGACACGGGCAGGGCTTGGCCATTCCTGACCACAGCTGGGCTTGTTGCAGTGTCAGTAACAGGGATTCCTTTCCCTGCCCCTGTGTGAGACACTGTTGGTGCCCAGCTGGAAATAAAATGCCCCCAAAGTTAGTGAAATATCCTTTATTCTCCTTGGAGATACATGGAGTCCAGAGGAAACAGCCTCAAGTTGTGCCAGGGGAGGTTTAGGTTGGATATTGGGGAAAATTTCTTCAGGGAAAGGGTTGTCCAGCCCTGGCACAAACTGCCCAGGGCAGTGGGGGAGTCACCACTGGACGTGTCCCAAAAACATGGAGATGTGGCAGCTGGGGACACGGGTTAGTGGTGAGCATGGCAGTGCTGGGGGAATGGTTGGACTTGATGATCTTGGAGGGCTTTTCCAACCTTAGTGACTCCATGATTTCTCTGACAACTGCCTTGTTTCTGCAGCTACGATCACTCGTGGCGCCTGTGGGACCTGGAGGCCCAGGAGGAGATCCTGCACCAGGAGGGGCACAGCAAGGGGGTCTATGACATCGCCTTCCACACCGACGGCTCCCTCGCCGGCACCGGGTGGGTTGGCCTGGGATTGGGGCTGGGTGGGACATGTTACCAAGGGTTTGGTGCTGACCAGAGATTTCTGCTGGAGGAATGGCTTCCCACTGCCAGAGGGCAGGGTTAGATGGGATAGCGTGGAGAAATTCTTCCCTGTGAGGGTGGTGAGGGGCTGGGATGGAATTTCCATGGCTGACCCACCCCTAGGAGTGTCCAAGGCCAGGTTGGATGGGGCTTGGAGCAATCTGGGATCATGGAAGGTGTCCCTGCCCATGGCAGGGGGGTAGAATGAGATGGTCTTTAAGGTCCCTCCCAACCCAACTGAGCCTGTGACTGTGATTCCAGTGGCCTGGATGCCTTTGGCCGGGTGTGGGACCTGCGCACAGGGCGCTGCATCATGTTCCTGGAAGGTCACCTGAAGGAGATCTACGGGATTAACTTCTCCCCAAACGGGTAAGAAGGGAGCTGGTGAGGTTTACGTGGGAGCTCCCAGTGCAAACCCCCTTCCCCAAAAACTGCCCTTCCTCCCCCCTGGGCAGGTACCACGTGGCCACGGGCAGCGGTGACAACACCTGCAAGGTGTGGGACCTGCGGCAGAGGAAGTGCATCTACACCATCCCCGCCCACCAGAACCTGGTCACCGGCGTCAGGTTTGAACGTGAGTGTCTGGTGTTCCTGATCCCTGACCCTCCAGAGCAGCTCCAGCCACACCTGCAGGGCAGGAAGGGCCTGTGCTGGTGAGCTGAGCTTTGCCATGTTTTTATTTGCAACCCCTTTCCTCCTCCTCTGCAGCCAACCACGGGAACTTCCTGCTCACGGGCGCCTACGACAACACGGCCAAGATCTGGACCCACCCTGGCTGGTCCCCTCTGAAGACACTGGCAGGGCATGAGGGGAAGGTGATGGGCCTGGACATCTCCCTGGATGGGCAGCTCATTGCCACCTGCTCCTACGACAGAACCTTCAAGCTGTGGACAGCTGAGTAGCTCAGAAGGGCTGGTTATGAACTGGGTTAATGGTTTTCAATTGCTTTTTTATATTAAAAAAAACCCCCAGGAATCAGCAGTTCCAACATGTGTCCAGCAGCTGCAGTCACGGCTGCTCTGGGGGTCAGGTGTGTTTGAAGCACCAGTGTTGGCCAGGGCTTGGCTGGAGTCAGCTCTTGGGTGATGTTTTCCCACTTTTAGGACTGGTTTTATACTGCAGACACCACTTCCTGCTGTAACTTGGAAATGATCCATCTGCTGCCACCCTCCCTCCCAAGCCAGGCTCCCGGGTGGAGGACACACAGGTGTCCTCCAGCCTGTGTTAAACAATTGCAGTCCCCACAGAGCACCTCAGGGTTGGTGTGTGGTGCAGCCTCTGTTCCTGCCCTTCTGACCTCCCTGTTCCTGAGCCTTTGGTAGAGTCTGCCTGCAGACTGGAGTTGCATTTAGGGACAGGCAGAGGAGCTGTCAGAGGGGGAGGTTGTGTCCCCCTTCCCCTGCCTCGGCAGGGGAACCTGGGCAGGGGTGTCCCTGGATGGAGATCTGCATCCCCTTGGATTCACTCACGGGAGTGAGTGAATCCTGGCCTCCCCAAGGCCAGGGAGGTTTTTCTTTCCCTTGTACCATCTCATGTCCCACTCCTTGGGCTGTCCCATGGACTGGGAGTTGCAAATCCCTGTGGGCATTTCCTGTTTCAGTTCTGCTGTGTCTCACCCGAGGTGATACAAAGGTCATTCAGTGTAGGATTGTCTCGTTCTACCTTACCCTGTGGGGAGCTTTCCTACTTCTTGTTTGTTCTTTAAACTGAGGTTTTGCAAATGTTTTGTCCTGGAAAATCAAAACGTGTTTTGGATGTGCATCCTGGGCTATGAGTCTGACTAAGGACTGGAGGAATTACAGGAATTTCACAAAACACAGTTTGATTCCTGTCTGCTGTTGTAAAAAACAGCTGAGGAGAGGTGAGGACATGGGGTTTGTTCACCCTGGAGAAGGGGAGGCTGAGGGCAGACCTCAGGGGTCTGCAGGTTCCTCATGGGGGGCAGCTCCGATCTCTGCTCTGTGTGAGCAGTGACAGCACCCAGGGAATGGCTGGAGCTGTGTCAGGGCAGGCTCAGGTTGGATCTCAGCAAAAGGTTCTTCCCCCAGAGGCTGGTTGGCACTGACCAGGCTCTCCAGGGCAGTGGGCACAGCCCCAAGGCTGCCAGAGCTCCAGGAGGGTTTGGACAACGCTCGGAGGGACAGGGTGGGATTGTTGGGGTGTCTGTGCAGGGCCAGGAGTTGGACTGGATGGTCCTGATGGGTCCCTCCAGTTCAGGATATTCTGTGATTCTATAAAAACCTTCAGGAGAAAAGAGAAGACGATTGCTCTCCCTGTTTTCAGCTGGAGAGCAGCTGTCCATGGTCCCTGGGAAGGTGAGCACAGTTCTGTTCCCAATGCAATGTTCCCAGTGCAGTTGGAGATGGTGTGTTAAGAAAAAAACAAACCCACTCCTAAGTTACTTTTCTTCAAGCAGAGTGTTGAGGGCTTTCTCCTCCCTTCCAAGCACCACAGTGCCGTGTGCCATGTGCCACGTGCCAGCTCTTGGTGCCTCCCAGGGAAAGTAGTATGGGACCAGAGGCCAGCAAGTAACACAGAAGAACATTTAATCACGGTCTCCTCTGTTTCAAGCCTGGACATCAGCTAAAGTGCTACAGTGTGTCCCCCTTGGCTCCTCACAGCTTGTCTGCTCCCTCTGCCCCATCCTGCGCTGCAGGGAGGGTTTGTGAGGAGAATGCCTCGTGCATCCAGGGTTTGGCTTTTCTCCTGGACAGCTCCTCACAAACCACCCGGGGAGCCCCCCTGCCCTGCTGCTCGGGCACATGGTCCCTGTGCCCATGGGCAGGGGAGGCTCTGGGGGTCCCATCCTCTCGGGGGCTGGTCTGTATCGGGAGTCCCTGGGTCTGTATCGGGGTCCCTGGCTCAGAACGCTGCCAGGGGCTGGTCTGTGTGGGGGTCCCTGGGTCTGTGTGGGGTCCCTGGGTCTGTGTTGGAGTCCCTGGGTCTGTGTGGGGGTCCCTGGGTCTGTGTGGGGTCCCTGGGTCTGTGTGGGGGTCCCTGGGTCTGTGTTGGGGTCCCTGGGTCTGTGTGGGGGTCCCTGGGTCTGTGTTGGGGTCCCTGGGTCTGGGTGGGGGTCCCTGGGTCTGTGTTGGGGTCCCTGGGTCTGTGTGGGGTCCCTGGGTCTGTGTGGGGTCCCTGGGTCTGTGTTGGGGTCCCTGGGTCTGTGTGGGGTCCCTGGGTCTGTGTGGGGTCCCCGGCTCAGAACGCCCCCAGCTCCCGCAGGGCGGGCTCGGCGCCGCCGCCCAGGCGCAGCACGTGGATGCCGGAGCTGGCGCTGGCACAGAGCAGGGTGGAGCTGTCGCAGGCGGCCAGCGAGGCCAGCGGGCCAGAGCCCTCCAGGGACAGCGTGGCCAGGCAGGCTGGGGAGGGAACAGAGAGACACCGAGATGAGGCAGCACCACACCGACCTCCCACCTCCCAGCTCTGCCCTCCTGAGCTGCTCCCCCCGCTCTCCCGGGTCCACACATCCAAAGGCACCGGGATGTGCCCTCTGGAAGAGAGACCCTCCCCCCCGTACAGTCCCCAGGGGATCTGAGCATTGATCTGGGCACTGGCTGGCTGACAGGGATCCAGACTGGGGTCAGGCTCTGCCCCTTCCCTGGAGAGGAAGCAGGGCTGGGTGGACACACAGACCCCCCTGGGCAGAGCTGCAGGGCTTGCCTGGAGCCATTCCCAACACGCCTTTTTCTCCCAAATGTCTTCCAGTCCGGAATATTTTTTCCTAAAGGCTGCATTACACTCACACAGTTTTGATGAGCCTCCAAAAAAGGAAGAGAAATCAGACTGACAATATCCAGCACCACATCAGCCCTTCTGTGTGTTATTAAACCCCCCTGAGGCAGAGTTTGTGCAAAGACACAGCCCCATGTTGAATTGTCAGAGGAGCTGCCCTTGGCACAGACCTACAAGCAGCTGCCTTGTGGTGACCTGCACCCTTCCAAGAGCAGCTGGATCACAGTCACCCAGCTGGGAAGGCAAGAGGATCAAAGCTGCACCTTGGCGTGCACAGGCACAAGGGCACACGAACAGGGAAGTGAAACAGCAGGTCCCTCTCTGTGGGAGATCCTCAGGTTTCTATTTTCAACCCATCTTAAAGAAGTGCACTTGGAGAGGGGCTTAACCCCAGGGAGTGTCTAATGCTGGTGCCTTGGACTGCATTCCATGCAGGGCTCTCAACCTGAACAGCTTCCTAAGAGGTCTCTGCTGCTGCACAAGGGTTACCAAGAGCCTGCTGCTATGGCAGGGCCTGGCAGGTAAACAGCCTTTGTGCAGCTCAGGGGAGGACTCAGCCCTCAGCACCAGCTTTAACCCCACAGGAGCCCTTCAAAGGGGCAACCAAAGTGAGGGCAGTGGCTGAGCAGCCCTCTGTCCTCCAGCACAACCATTCCTTACAACTCTTCAGTGAGATCTCTGAAATGCTCTCATAATTCTTCCTTTTAGTTTAGGAAGGACACTTGTCACCTCTGACACACACCCACCCCACCTCCTCCTCTGCAGGGCAAGCAGAAGCCCCTGGGTTTGCTCTGGGAGATGTCTCCACCCTGCCCTGCAGCTGGAATGGAGTAAATTCCAGAGATTTCAGGCTTCATCCCGCCCATCACCACCGGGAGACAGACACAAGGAAGCAGTTTTGTTCTCCCAGAGCACCGAGGATGAGCAGGAGTCCCCCCTACCTGCCGTGTCCCGGTGCCAGACCTTCACCGTGCTGTCGCTGGAGGATGTGGCGACGCTGGGGGCGAGGGCTGGGCCCCGGGGGAGGAAAACACACGAGGTGGTGGTCTGGAAATGCCCCCTGTACTCACACACCCGGCCCCGGGTCTGCCGCAGGTCCCACAGCTGCAAGGGAACAGGAGAGCTCAGAGCCGGGTCTGACACTGTCAGGGAGCCGATTGACACGGGAGGGAAGAGGGGGTTGGGTAAATTGCTCCTTGCCAATCCTCAATGCCCATTGCCTTTGTCCCTGCTCATGCTCACAGTCCTGGGGAATGTCAAATCCCAAAGGATTTTCACCATCGATGACTATTTGAGCCCACAGAGCCAAGGCTGTGCAGGCAGGTAACAAGGCTCCACCCTGCTCCCATCCTCAGCCCTGCCCTCCCTGGGATGCGATGGGATGGGGATGGGATGGGGATGGGATGGTCTCATCCTCTTGATCCTCACACAGGGCTGAGAACCTGCCAATTCTAAGCTCAGTTCTGTCTAAGAGACACAGAATGCCAGCTCTGAACCCCTGTGTGGCTAAATGCTCTAACCAGGTTTGGGGTCACTCAGACATTGGCACAGCCCTGTTTGTGTTGTGAGGTAGCCAAGGAAACTCCAAAATTGGTTCACACTGACTGGACCTCCCTAATCATTGAACACTGTGGGGTTTTCTCCTTTTCTTCAAGTGACTTTACCATGTTCCTGCTTTCAAGGCCTTGTATTTTCAGAGGGGAAAATGTGGATCTGGGAAAGATTCCCCAGGGCACAGAGGAGAAAGGCAAACGTTGCTCAGCAGCACCACAGAATAATGAGCTATTGTGAAAGCTGAATCTCTGGTTTGGAAACACCTGGAGCACAGGGTCCCTTACAGGCTTTCTGCAAGAACCTCATGCTCCTCAATGCCTTCTGTTGTTTTTTCCCTTTGTGTTTTACTGAAATAAAATGCTAGACTGGTTTGGGTTGGGAGGGACATTAAAAATCAACTAGTTCCATCCCCCTGCCATGGGCAGGGACACCTTCCACTAGACCAGGTTGCTCCAAGCCTCATCCAGCCAGGCCTTGAACACCTCCAGGGATGGGGAAAATCCCAGTGCTTTAATCAGGAACATATTCTCTGACATTCCCTGAGCAGAACTTCCCAAAGGGACAGGCAGGAAGACACTAAGCTCTGGCGCTGGCTGGTGACACCAGCACAAATCCAGTGCAGTGGGAGGACTCAGATCCCTGGAGCACTGCTGTGCTGCTCTCTGCTGTGTCCTGTGGACACTGGAGGAAGGAGCAGGGGCCCAGCACACTCACGGTGGCCTCTCCACCCTGGCTGCTGCTGAGGCAGTACCGCCCGTCCTGGCTCACGTCACAGCACGTCTGGATGTGCTGCTTGGCTGGGAACGTGTGTGCCACCTGCAGCTCCCGGCTGTCCCAGATCCTGGGGGAACAGGAGAGGGGAAGGGCACTCTGAGGCGTCATCTCCACGATGGGCTTCCCTCCGTGCCCTCCCGCTCTGCCCTTCTGCCATCCCTCCTGGGGCAGCCCCCTCCTGCCTCCCAGATCCACCCCTGCAGTTATCCATCCTGGATCACTCTCCAGCCAGAGCAGCCGAGCTGAGCTTTCTGTCCCACAAACTCTCCTTTTCACCTGCAGTCACCACCCAGTGCTGCTCACAGCCCCTGTGCCCCTGGCTGTCCTCTGCTGACACTGTGCTCCAAGGCCCAGCTGAGCTGGAAAGTGGCTTCTGGCCACACCAGCAGCTGGTCATGACAACGACCAAAGAACAGCCCCTTGTGCACTGGCAACTTCCCTACACCCCACCTGCCCCAGGCTGACACTCCCTTCTCTGTGGCCACATGTGGGACTTACCTGGTTGTTTTATCCTCCGAGGTCTGGATGACATAAGGCTCCCCAGGAACCCAGCACAGGTGTGTGACCTGTGGACAGGGAAGGATGAGCAGGAGCCACCTCTGTGTGCAGCCCAGGCTGTGTCTGCTGTGGATGCTCCCACCCTCTCCCTCCTCGTGCTGGGTTGGGAGCTGGAAACGTTGGATGAAGGTGTTTCCTGCTCCCTTCCTGGGCCCAGTCCCTGGGCATGTTTCAGGCAGGGAGGTGCCAGCAGCTCACCAGGACACAGAGCCCTGGGAACAGGGATACCACAGGCACCAGGGGATGGTGTCCACACCAGCTCCACTGCTGGGCTGGTACAGGAGGGAATGCAGAGTGTGGGAGCTGGGGGGGCTCAGTCTGGAGAAAAGGAGGCTCAGGGGGGACCTTCTCACTCTCTGGAACTCTCTGACAGGAGGGGGGAGCCAGGGGGGAATCAGGCTCTGCTCCCAGGGAACAAAGGACAGGGTGAGAGGAAACGGCCTCAAGTTGTGCCAGGGGAGGTTTAGTTTCGATATGAGGGAAAATTTCTTCACTAAAAGGGTGGTCAGGCCCTGGCACAGCTGCCCAGGGCACTGGTGGAGTCCCCATCCCTGGAGGGATTTACAAATGTGTGGATGTGGCACTTGGGGACATGGGCTATGGGTGGCCTTGGCAGTGCTGGGGGAATGGTGGGACTCGATGATCTTAGGGGGCTTTTCCAACCTCAGTGATTCCATGATTCTGAGTGCTTCCTGGCAGTTCAGAGTTAGAGCATTAATAAACTGCCACATGTCTCTTGGTACCTTTGTGCTCCTGGACTTGTTGTCAAGGCAGCCTGGGCAGAGCCTCCAGGGCTCCCTTTGGCACCAAGCTCACAGCAAATTCCCTCTACACAGCCTCGTGTGAAAGAACCACGTAGGCAGTGAGGTGCCAGGATGGGATGGGAGGAAGCAGCAGCTCCTACCAGATTCCTGGAGATGGTGGCCCTGGCCAGACACTCCCCAGTCTCTGTGTCCCACTTGCACACGGTGTTGTCTCGTGAGCCCGTGCACAGCTGGGAGGCATCTGTAACCACAAGGGAACAGCAAACCCAAGTCAAGAAGTGTTGTCAGTGAATCCCTGGGGACTGGGGGTGTGCTGTCCCTCACCTGGGCTCACAGCCAGCCCAGTCACAACCAGCTCATGTCCTGGGAAGTGCTGGCTTGGCCCCGACGCCCCGTGAAGCTCCCACATCATCACTGTCTTGTCCCGGGATGCACTGAAGACTCTGCTGGAGTCAAGGGCAGAGGTGACCTGCCAAGGACAAGAGGGAGAAGCTGGTTATCCTCCCGGCCAGCCCAGCTCTGCTCAGGGAGAACATGACATTTGCTGTCCTGTCACAGCCCAAAACATGCAGGAATGTGCCTGGGGAGAGCCTGACCTTCAAACTCTGACCTCAAACCATGACACCCATGTCCCCCCAGAGCCAGGGATGGTGGATGGGTGCTCTCTTGGTCTCACAAACCATTCATTCTATAGGAAAAGCTTCCTTACAAACCCAAATGAGCCCAGTGCTTGGCTGCCTTGAGCACTGGGGTGAATGAAGCCCCCTCTGTCCCTCCAGTACCCCAACCCAAGGGGACCCCCTGGGGCTGTCCCTGGTCGAGGTGCACACACATACACACCCCTGGATGTCTGCTCTCTGAGGAGAGTGCTGGGCTTTGTCATCATGGTCCCAGAAGGGAAATTAAAGCCCTGCTGTTCCCGGGATTGGTTGGCTGTGGAATAACAAGTCCAGCAGAACGAGACCCGAAGAAAAGTGAACAGTGTCTCCAAATCAAAAACTTGATCCCATAATTCATCCTTAACCTTTGCTACACAGTCTGCTGGAGGGGAAGACAGGCCTCCTGCAGCCCTGTTTAGTTTGGATGCACTTCTCCTTGCTGCTTCCCTGGACAGCAGAGGATCAGCTGGGACCATGGGAAAGACCTGGTGTGTTCTGATCAGGGAATCATGAATTGTCAAGGTTGGAAAAGACCTTTAAGGTCATCAAATCTGATTGTCCCCAGTTAGACACCAGGGATACTCTGGTCCCTCTTTCTAGTGGAGCAAAGGGGGCCCTGTGTGATGCCAAACCAGTGCTCCATTATCCCTGGCACCCCAGGAATGCTGACAGGAGACCCCGGCGCTCTCACCTTGGTGACCTCCCGCTCGTGGCCGAGGAAGCGCCGCAGGGCAGCCCCGGATCTCCAGCTGCACACAGCCACACTCTGCAGGGACAGGGCAGGGTCAGCAGGGACACAGGGCAGGGAGGCTTTCACACTGTGCACAGCCCACAGGGGAGGGAACAGGTTCCTCTGCTTTTGAGCTCCTGCAGCAGATACAGCTGTCTGTAGAGCCAGGTAACATAAGGGCCAGTGATTCCAAGCCTGGGTGAGACCACTTGATGTGATCGGAGCTCAGGAAAGGTTACAAAATTTGATTCCATGTGCTTCAGTGTGTGCCCTCACTCCAAGCTCATCTTTTCTTTCTAAATTCTGGGACTGACAAAGTTGTTACTCTCCCAGAATGTTCACAGAACAGTTCAAGGAACTTCAAGGAAATGTTCAAAGCTCACATTTAAATCTTATTTTCGAACCTGTTGACATGTTTTCCGTCCCGTGGGCCATGGCAGGGGGTACCTCACCTTATCCCTGCCCCCTGACACACACAGGTCTGGTTTGAGAGCAGCCACAGAGGTGACAGCGTCGGTGTGAGCGGGGCTGTGCTGCCGGGAGGTGCCGATGGATCCCGTCTGTCCCACGATGGATCCCGTCTGTCCCACGATGGATCCCGTCTGTCCCATGGAGCCATCGGCCCTGCAGCACGGACAGACAGGTGGGAGCTGCAGGGCATGTGAGACAAGGCCAGGGTGCCATTCCCGTGACACCAGGCCTGGGAGGTGGCACTGCTGACACCATCTGATGTGACAACCCCTGCCTTAGACAGCCTGAGAGAGGCTGTGAGCGAACCAGGTGAGATGGAACAGACCTACCTCACCTCTAGAGCTGCCAAATATCGGTATGTTTGCTCACTCTGTGCTGGTGCAAAGAATAAAAGAGATTTTGATCTCACCAGCCCCCACTGTCACTCACATGGGTCAGGCTCAGCTGCTCTTTGCTGTGACACCTCCCTGGCCACACAGTGCCCCCCAGCTCTGTGCCCCCCTCTGTGCTCTCAGCTGCTCTCCAGGCAGAGATTCCCCCCCTTGCTGCCAGACACAGAATTATCTCACCTTGCCAACAAAAGCAATGACAGTCTCTGAAGAGACAGCGAAGCAGTTTGGATATTTGGGCCAAAGAGCCACTCCTGGAGCTGTTCCCCTTCAGAGCTCTGCCTCAGCCATCACAGGGCACGGCCACTCCTGTGAGTGACACTTGGGACTTCAGTCCCCCAAAGAAGCTGAGCAGACTTTTTTCAAAAGTGAAAACACATTCACACATTCAGTAATGAAACTGAAACCACGTGCTTGCTCTGTTCTCTGGTCATTTGTGTTCTCTGTTCACTCTCCCACCTGGTTTGTTAACAAGACACGATCACCCAGCGTTGCTTTACCCGTATTTGGTGGTGTGGAAGCTGAGTTTACTCTGCAGTTTCCCCATAGCCCTCCAAAGAGCAGGGCCCCCCCACGGGGTGTCACATCAGCACCTCAGGCACCTGCTGCAGGGACACGACCTGTGGGTGAGGGGACACAGCATCACCAGGGATCCAGAGGGGTTTCTGCCTCTTACATATACAGGGTAAGGTGCTGGTAACACATTATTTACATCCCAACGTCATTTAGAATAACAGGAAAACCTCAGTGGAGGGGATATCAGGAGGTCCTGAGCCAAATCTTTGGCTTAGAGCAGAGCCAGCAGCAGGGTGAGGTTATTGGAACCTCATGCTGAGCTTTAAAACGCCCAGGCTTGGTGAGGCCACACCGGAGAAGGAGTTGCTGCCTGTTGTTCTTCTAGTGCTTTACACTTTCCTCTTACTCCAGTATCTGGTCTTGACTTCCATATATCCAGGTGAGGAGCCTCTGGCACAGCAGGGCTCAGCATCTCTCCCTCATGTCCTCACAGGTCACAGACTGAGCACAAACCAGTCTCAGTGACAGTGAATTGTCACAGACAATAACTGGCTGCTGCTTAGCTCAAGGCACACTAATTGGATTTGCCCTGCACTATGTGTATGTTGGCATTCCCATCTTCTGGGGCTGTAGTACTTAGCTAATAAAATTCAGGAACCCCCCCCCCACACACCTTTTCCAGCAATGAAAAGAGCCTTCCACCTGCTTGAAGGCTCTGCCCACAGAAACTGGAAACCCAAATCCTGGAAACACTGAGCAAGAGGGGCTGGGTTTCTACAAAACAATTCTCTTTCTAATTTTACCTTGACAGCCCTTGTGATTAGCAATTAGTAATACCCAGTTAATCACCACCTGCTCTATCTATGAGTTTGCATGTCCCAAAGATGTGAGGAATGATCAATCTCACGGCTGAGGGGCTATGACAATTTGGCAATTTACTCTTTCAATCAGACCCTGATCGTTTCAGTACGTGAGGAACATGATTTTTCTTTGACGAGAGAGAAGTCTGGACGTTGCTTCTCCTGCAAAACAAGATTCTAGGAAAAGCCAAGATGTAAATTCTGATTTTTAATTACGATGTTCCTTGTCCTCCAGTTAGTTTCCCCACTCCTGTGGTTAATGCAGTCCCTACCTGCACATAAACTCCGAGGGAGGACACAGAGAAGCTGCTGGTGGCCCCAGGAGGCTGCAGGGAAGGTGGGAGCTCTGTCCTGTGTCTCACTGGGCTCTCCTGCCTCTTCCCCACTGCAAGAAAGACCATCTTCTGAACGCTGAGTGAGAGCAGTTCTCAGGCAGGATGTTCATCCAAGGTTTTGCTGTCTGCATCCCAACACGTTTATCATCCACCTGCTCCATCACAAAGCTCCAATAACACAGGGGTCCAGCAGCAACTGGACATGAAGTGTCACCTCCAGCAGACTGAGTTTCACACTAGAGGATCTTCTTATGCTCCCTTCTGCCTTAAATGTATCACTTGACAGAAATCAAACACATTTTTTACTAAATGGCTTTAAAAAAATAACCCACACTACTGCCTCCACCTGTCCAGGCTCTGCCGTGAAACCCTTACCATGGATAGGGAATGACAACAGCCATAGCAGTGGGCACGGGGACCTCAGCAGAGCTCCCCCCATCCTTATCACCCCTCGAGGAGGGTGTTTGACCATCTTTGTGGAGGATGGGATGACACTCTGGCCCCTGGAGCTGGGGGTGACCCTGTGACAGTGGTGCAGGTCCCTGTGCTGGGAGTGTCCCCACGGGGGATCGCTGGGGGCATCCTGGGTCCCTGTGGATGGGGTGGCCCTGTGGGGGTCAATGGGGCCATCCTGAGTCTCTATGGATAGGGGTGGCCCAATGGGGCTCAGTGGGGCCATCCTGGCTCCCTGTGATGGGGGTGGCCCTGTGGGGTGTCAGTGGGGTCATCGCACGTCCCCAGGGATGAGGGTGGCCCTGTGAGGGTCAATGGGGACATCCTGGCTCCCTGTGATGGGGGTGACCTGTGGGGGATCAGTGGGGTATTCCAGCTCCCTATGGATGGGGATGACGCCCTGGGCAGTCAGTGGGGTCATCCTGGCTCCCTGTGATGGGGGTGGCCCTGTGGGGGTCAATGGGGGCATCTTCGCTCCTTGTGATGAGGGTGACCCCCTGGGCGGTCAGTGGGGACATTCCAGGTCCCTGTGATGAGGGTGGCCCTGTGGGGTGTCAATGGGGCCATGCCGGGTCCCTGCGCTGGGGCAGCCCCACAGATGCCTTATGGGGCAGCCTGGCAGGGGCAAGGCGGGCGCAGCCCCGGGAAGGGTTTGGGAACAATCCGTGTCCCCGTGGCTGGGGCAGCCCCGCGGCCCAGCCCGGGACCCTCCGCGCACTCACCGTGTCCGGAGCAGCCTCGTCCCGCCGTGTCCCTCCCGGGGCCGGTCCCGCCGTGTCCCTCCCGATCCCGGTCCCGCCGTGTCCCTCCCGATCCCGGTCCCTCCCGACCCCGGTCCCGCCGTGTCCCGCCCGGGGCGGGGCCGAGCCGAGCTCTGCCGGGCGGCGCCGCCGCCCCCGCGGCAGGTGCGAGCACAGCATGGCCCGGCGGGGCGGGCCGGAGCGGCTGCGGGTGAGCGGGGGGACCTCGCCCGACCTAACCCCGGCCCCAACCCCAACCCCGACCCCGACTCCAACCCTGACCCTGACTCTGATCCCGGCCTCGGCCCCGACCCCGACCCTGATCCCGGCCCGGGGCTCGCCGGCGGCTGAGGGGAGCCCGGGGCCGGGCGGGGCGGGGAGAGGGGCCGCGTGTGGGACTGGGGAGTGCCGGCGGGGCGTGAGGGTTCCTGAGGGGGGAGCGGGAGTCCCTGGGAGGGTATGTGGGTCCTGGACGGGCTGTGGGTCCGTGAGGGAGTGGGGGGTCCCTGGGGGGTGTGGGGCCTCAGAGATCCCTGCAAGGGTGTGGGGATCCCGGATGGGGTGTGGGGTCCTGGGGGGTGTGTGGGATCCTGGGGATCTCTGGGGGCGTGTGGGGGTCCTGGACGGGATGTGGGTCCGTGGGGCAGTGTGGGGGTCCCTGGAGAGAGTGGGACCCTGGGGGTCCTTGGTGAGCCGTGGGAGTCCTAGGGGGGTTTTTGGGGTCCTGGAGGGGTGTGGGGCTGCAGGGACCCCTGACCGAGTGTGGGGGTGCCAGACGGGGCTGGTGGGATGTGGGATGTGGAGGGGACATGGGACCCTGGGGGTCCTTGGTGGGTGCCTGGGGGTCCCAGACAAGGTATGGGGGTGGCTGGGGGTCCTTGGGCAGGTGTGGGACCCTGCGGGTCCTTGGCGGGGTGTGGGGGACCCTGGTGCGGTGTGAGGCCATAGGAGGGGTCTCCTGTGGGGAGGGGAGGGCTCCCTGTGGGGCTGTGTTGGAGGTCCCCTGTGGGGAAGGGGCTCACTTTGGGGTGGTGCAGGAGGACCCTGACAGCTGTGGGGCTGGGTGGGGTCAGGCTGGTGGGGGGCTCGGGGTGCTGTGGCCCTGTCCAGGCTGTGTTCATCACCTGCTGTTCCGTGTCCCAGGACGAGCTCGTGGACCGGTGCGAGCGGCTCCAGCTGCAGAGCGCGGCCATCGCCCGGCACGTGGATGAGGTGCTGCCTGCCAAGGACCAGGCTGTCCTGGTGAGTCCCTGTCCCTGCCAAGGACCAGGCTGTCCTGGTGAGTCCCTGCCCCTGCCAAGGACCAGGCTGTCCTGGTGAGTCCCTGTCCCTGCCAAGGACCAGGCTGTCCTGGTGAGTCCCTGTCCCTGCCAAGGACCAGGCTGTCCTGGTGAGTCCCTGCCCCTCTCCCAGCACAGCTGGCCCCATGTGCTCCGTGCTCACCAGTCCCATTGGAGATGCTGAGCTCTAGGGGGCTCATCATTGTGCACGGGTTGTCCCCTCCTACCCCACAGCTGTGGAAGTGGAGTTCTAGGGTGTGCCTGTGATTGCTGCCTCGCCTGCCTAAAAAATGTACATGGACAGTATATTTCTTGGTGTCAGTGTATAGCAATCACTAGGACCAGTGTCTCAGCAGTTCCTGGTTTTGTTTGTTCCTTGCTGTCACTGAGGATGAGGGCAAAGGGCAGTTATAGAATCATAAAATCACAGAGTAGTTTGGGTTGGAAGGGCTTTAAAGACCGTCCTGTTCCAAGCCCCTGCCATGGGCAGGGACACCTTCCACTAGCCCAGGTTGCTCCAAGCCCCGTCCAACCTGGCCTTGGACACTTCCAGGGATGGGGCAGCCACAGCTTCTCTGGGCAACCTGAGCCAGGGCCTCCCCACCCTCACAGGGGAGAATTCCTTCTCAATATCTCATCTATCCCTGCCCTCTGGCAGTGGGAAGCCATTTCCCCTTGTCCTGTCCCTCCAGGCCCTTGTCCAAAACCCCTCTCCAGCTCTCTTGGAGCCTCTTTAGGCACTGGAAGGGGCTCTAAGTTTTTCCCAGAGCCTTCTCTTCTCCAGACTGAGCAGTCCCAGCTCTGTCAGGCTGTTCTCATGTGTCTCACCAGTAGTGAATCCATGGAGATCTGCTGAGGGACAGGACTCTGGTCCTTCACAGGTTGTCACAGTTAGGCCAGGAGGCTGTAGGTGGGTTTGGGACTGGTTGTCCCATTTACCTGCACTTGTATCGTGACAGTTGCTGTGGCCTGGGCTCAGTTAACAGAGTAATGTTGACAGCTGAGCCCACAGGGAGCCGGCAGGAGCAGCTGGGGCTCTTGCTGGGGCTGCAGCCAGGCTGATGTTGCTGCTGTCCCTGCTCTGGCAGAACGCGGCCAGCGCGGCGCGGGAGCTGGTGATCCAGAGGCTGCTCTTCGTGGGCAAGGCCTGCGAGAACGAGGAGCAGCGGCTGCTGGAGAGGGTGCACGCGGAGGAGGAGAGGGCACACCAGAGCATCCTGACCCAGCAGGTGCACTGGACAGAGGCTCTGCAGAAGCTGGGAGCCCTCCGGACCTACCTGGTGGACATGATCACCAACCTGGATGACCAGGGCCTGCTGGTGAGAACTGCTCCATGTTCTGAGGGATGGGTCAGTCAGCCCTGAGGTCACCCGGACCTCTTACCATGGGACTTAAATATGGTGTTCAGCAACTGCTGTGCTGACAGCAAGGAGGCAGAGCTGGACAGGACCTACATCTGCAGGTCTAGCTCAGGGAACCTCCTTGACCTGGTCCTGACAAGCCCCTGTGGTTTCTCAGTGGTTCCCAGAGCATCTGCTCTTGCTTGCAGTGAGGTCCAGAACCACCCACGCTCAGGTGTCCAAGCTCTTGGCTTACAGCTGCCCTTAGGCCAGACAGCCAGGACAGCTGTGGGCTGAGAGCTGCTCTTACAGCAATTCATTGTGCCACCAGTTTTCAACTGTTGTGTGTAGTTTGAATCAAAACCGCTTTGGGAGCACCTGCATCTCTTCTGGAAAGTCCTCCCTGTCATCTGGCACAGCTCTATTTGGGATATTTGCTGTGCAGAGCAGCCTGTGCTTCCTCTCCCTCAGTTCCTTCTCTGGTTATTGAGTTGTCTGGGTTTACCCAAGTGATTCCTCTCAGTTTGGAAGGGAGCAGGTTGGTCTTCCACCACCATGCTCAGCCTCTGCTTCCCACATGGAAGTTTGTGGGAAAGAGGGCAGCAGCTCTGCTTGGGAAACAGACCCGACCCCATAGAGAGAGGGCAGATGTTCCTTTGGTAGGAAAAGCAGTGTCTGTCCTGCCCCAGCACCTCCGCTGGGCTGTGGCTGCACCATGGAGAGTAGAGGCTGGAGAGCAGGACCCATCAGCTGCCTGTGCCAGAGAACAGCCAGACCCTTTTGCCACGTGGTGGAGGGAATTAGGGACCATGTGTTCTCCACTTGGATTGCTGGTGTTGGTACTTGTGTCTGTCAGGAATCAGCACGTGCCATGCCACAGGCCTGCAGCTTGCCCTGCAGCTCGGATTTGAGCAGGGATCAGATATTTTCCTACCACTTTACTGCATCTGGAGAATGCTCGTGACCAGCAGGAACAGAAACAAGTGGGACCAACCACCTGACTCTTGACTTAGTTCCTCTGCCACCACCCCCCTTGCTGAAAGCCCTGGGGTTGTTTGCTGGAAGCACAGGCTGTTCCTGCAGCATTCCCTAGTGGAGTGGGAGCAGAGGGAGGGCAGCAGACACTGCCCCAACTGTAGAGGATGTATTGCCCTCAGCCATTCCCACTCATTTTCTGAGTTGAGGGGTGGGAAGTGCTGCAGCTAAGGAAAATGAATGTTGGATGCTCCCCCTGCTCCCCAGGGTTGCTGTTGGGGTGAGGGGTGGTTTCTCTGGATCAGGAAGGAAAACACTGCTCCTGGTCCTGGGTTTGCTGTGCCCCAGCCTGTGTTTGGGATCTGTAGGCATTTCAGCTCTGGTGACTCCTTCTTTCCTTGTCCCCAGCGCGCAGAACGAGAGATCTTCGAGAGGTCAGTGCCTGGCTGCTCCTGCTCCTGCTCCTTTCCCTGACCCTGCTCCAGGCTCCCCTGCCTCCCTGCAGCTCCTGTGCAGTGCCATGGCTCAGGTGCCCTGGACACCTCTGTCCTCCCTCTGCTCTTCTGTTGGGGACAAGGACACAGCACAGAGATGCCACTCTCATCTCTGCTCCGGAGCAGCCTGGCCCCTGGAGATGCTCCATGTGCAGTGCCAGAGCAGCAGCCCTTGTTTACAGGAGAACTTCTCCAGCTCCTCAGAGCACTCCCCGGGGCTTGCTGGGGGTTGGAGCAGGCCTGTCCCTGCTGTTGGCAGGAGGTGGGATGGTCCTGGTGGGAAGCTGGTGTGCTCTGTGCTGGGGTGGCTGGCACAGCCTCAGTGTCCCCAACAGCACCGTGGGTGACGCTGGGCTGCCCTTCCCTGAAGAGGTACCTCGGGGGCTGGGTTTTCACAGCTTTTTGTCTCCCTGGCTCCTGTGGGGGTGCTGGCCCTGTGCTGCCCAGAGGGCTGGTGGGGTATTTGTGCCTGTAGAGAGTACAGAATGTGCCACAGCATGTCAACACCAGCGTGTGCCACAGCCTTTCCTCACAACCACGAGTTGTGTGGGTGCTGCAGGCCACAGGAACAGCAAACCGTCTGTGTCTTGCTGTGCTGGGTGAAACCCGGCTCCTGCCACACCCCCTGGGCTCCAACTGTTATAAAGAGGGAAATCTGAGTCTCTCACTGTTCATTGGGCTCCCTTTGTACCTTGATGGCCGCTCTCAGACACATTTATTTACCCTGTGTCTGCTGAGTGAGGAGCTGTTGATTCAGGCTGCTGGGATGTGTTTTACAACACTGCAGTCCTTTCACAAGGGACTGTAAGCAAAGCCAACCAAAAGTATCACTTAAAGTATGGCTTAGGGCGAGAGCTGGCTCAGAAACCCCCTCTGGGGTCACTCTGCAGCCAGAGCTCCTCTTTAACCTCTGCCATACCTCCTAAGTGATCTTTATAAACACCTCCCAACACAACTAATCTTTGTATTTTGAAATTCCTCTTGTTTTCCTTTGCTAGGACAGAGGTGGCGGAGGGAATCTTGGAGCCACAGGAGTCCCTGAAGTTAAACTTTAATCAGACGTGTGTTCAGAGTCCACTCCTGCACCGACTGTGGGCCTCTGCTGTGCTCTGCTGCCTCACAGGTCAGTGTCTCCCGAGCTCTGGGGATTCCTGCACCCTCATTCATGTTGGGCCCAAAGAAACACCCTCATGTTGTGTCAAAACCTCCTGGTGCCCTGTCCTGCCCCTCTGCTCTCCCAGCCCCTGCTTGTTTCCTGGAGCCCCCCAGCCAGGGGAGCAGCAGCAGCAGCTGTGGGAGGTTTGGGGGGTGCAGTGGGGGCTCCAAGCAGGTTGTGGCTCAGAGCAGAACCGGGGTTTGAAAAGACACTTTGTTTTATCAGCTCTGTGGCTTAAGCTCACGTGGTTTCTTTTGCTGTTTCCTGGGTGGCTTGGTGACAGCAGTGAAGCAGACTCTGCTGGGGAATCTCTGTCACAGAAATCCCTCTTCACCACGTTCAGCACTGGGTTGCTGGGCATTTTAAAAGAGGGTGAGTTCACCTGTGGGGTGTCTGTGAGATGCTCTGAGCAGCAAAGTGAGCAGTGAGGAGATGCAGCAGCTTTCTGCTCACAGGCTGAGATTGTGGCTGTGCACGAGCTGGTGGTTTTTAGGGGTGTTTGTGCTCTGGCTCAGCTCTTTCTGTACAGCTGGGACTGCACTGGAGGTGTTTGCCAGGCCAGTGACAGGCTCTGGGTACGAGTTTAGCAGATTGGTGTTGGCTGTATTGAGCAGGGAGAAACAGTTTTCTCCTGGCTGTGATGTGCTTGGGTGGCTGGTTGTGAAATGTTTGCTTTTACTCTGACTTTCAGGCCATCACTAGAGCATTTCAAACGTGAGTTTTGTTTCTCAGAGGTGGCAACGTCCTTTACAGGTTGCCTTGTGAACAGTCCCTGGGCTGATTTTCCCAAAGTTTTTGTATTAACTTTGCTGATGAGCTGTTTTCAGTTTTTCCCTGTTTCCAGGCCCCTCTCCAAGGTCTGTGCTTTGGCCTTTTCTTGCTCCTGTAGCTTTGACAATCTGAGAATCTGTGCTACCAAGCACCACATCATCTGTTTCTTCTACTGCAAATTCTGATGTCGTTCTCCCTTTGTGATTCATTTCCCTCTTTCCAGTCTTTGGATGCTGGCAGTCATGGAAGGTGTCCCTGCCCAGGGCAGGGGGTTGGGACTGGGTGATCTTTAAGGTCCCTTCCAACCCAACCCAGTCTGGGATTCCATGCCAGCTCCTGCAGTTGTGCATTGACAGTGTCACACAGGATCACTGAGGTTGCAAAAGCCCCCCAAAATCACTGAGTCCAACCTTTGATCAGTCCCCACCTTGTCCCCCAGCCCAGAGCACTGAGTGTCACATCCAGTTGTTGCTTGGACACCTCCAGGGATGGGGACTCCACCACCTCCCTGGGAGCCCCTTCCAATGCCTGACCACTCTTTCCATGAAGAAATCCTTCCAGAAAGAATCAGTTGAGCAGGTTCTTGGCTGATGTTCTGAGCCATAAAGTCAAGGAAGAAACCTTTCCCTAATTCTCTTGGTTGTGACACGGTTTTTTTTAAGGATTCCTCTCCCAGTACCATCCTTGTAAAATGTGATGGCTCTAAGGCATTCTGTGCTTGTAGTGGGTGTGTTGGTGCGCTTATTACACAGGAATTTCACTCTGTTTGGGGTTTTTTTGAGTGTGTGGTTACATTTAACTGTCATTATTGCATGCTGAGGATTCCTGCTGTATCCTTGTGGATCTCCTCAGTCCACAGTCCACCCAGGACCAAACCTTAGAGGTTTAATATTAACTGCAGTGGTCTGAGCTTGTTAAGACATAGTGATGTTACGTGTCACTTTGTGGTCCCTTCTCCCAAAGGTAGTTGAGCAGTTGGCTGTCTTGTTTATTTGCTTGAAAACACAAAATTCCCAGCCTTGACAGCTTGCTCCAAACCTCTCAAAAACTTGGAAAGCAGCAGGAAAAAGAGCCTCCATTTCCCTCTCAGAAATAAACACGATTCCTTTGATGTCTTCACTTGGCATCCAGGCTTCTGTATCACTTACATGTGAGCTTGGCAGCTTTTTCCTTACACCAAGAGATGATGTAAATCTCCTGGCACAGTTTTGGGAGGAATCTGGGTTCATGGGAACTTGGATTTTTAAAAGCAGTCAAATGTGCTGCAGCCAACATGTATGTGCTTACCAGAGCTGTTAACTGTGTTAACCTGGCATCCCTCATCTCCCAGGGCCACCCTGATGGGTACAGTACACAGAGAAGATAGATTTGGGGGTGAGTTGAATTCCTGATTTAATCATTAATCAGAATATATGGGAGAATCTGAAGGGCAGATTTAATCATGACAGAACACCTGTGTGTGTGGGAAAATGTGCTGATCTGAATTACTCTGCTGTCACCCTGCCAGTGCTGCCCCTCCCTCAGATGCTCCCCTGGAATTCCAGCACTGTGGTGTCTCTGGGGCGGTGTTTCCCTGTGTGGATGATCCCTGTCCTGGAGCACTGGAATGCAGCCCTAGATTAGATGTGTGCTGCACAATACGAGGTTTAGTGCCCTCCTTCTGTCAGAGGAAGATAAATTCTGGTACTGCTCCCTTTTCTATGAATTCAGAGTAGCTTTTGGCTTCCTGGAAAGCCACCCTGCACACGGGCAGTGTGGGCAGCCACGGCCACGGAGCTGTGGAAGGCACGGCTGGGGTTTGGCTGCTGCTCAGGGAAATAAATCAAGGGGCTGAGGCTGGCAGCTCCAGCTGCAGGGGATGTGGCTTCAGCTCCTCCTTGGGCTCACTCTTGCCTGCAGTTGCTCCCACCTAACATGGGAGTGTGTGTGTGGCATTTCCCTGCACTTCCCAGCCTCAGTGCATCTGCCAGGGAGCACCTGGGGAGGTGCAGCCCGAGCTGCTGCTGGGTCTGCTCCCTGTCAGAGGGATGTGACCTGGGCCCTGGAGCAGGTTGGGCTCTGGGATGACCCTGCTCAGGGTGCAGTGGGATGGTTTGGTTCCTTAGGGCCTCATCCTGCCGTGTGCTGGGCACTGAGCAGAGGGTGGTTGGGCATTCCAGGGTAGAGCTGGTGGCAGGGCTGGGACAGCAACTGGCTCCCCTGCTCCAGCCTTGCTTCTGTGGCAGTTTAAGACCTAAAATGAATGAAGTGAGAGTGGGGGAAGGCAGGGGCACCCACTGGCAGGAACTGGGAGCAGGTGAGTCAGCTGGACATCAGCCTCATCTCTGCTTCACAAATTTAGGGATGGAGGGACCCACTCGTGCAGTTACTCAGCACTCCCAGGGTCTGCAGACCCACTGAGGGGTCTCGGGGAGGGCTGTGCAGCCAGAGCAGGGTACTGTGATCTTAGAGGTCTTTTCCAAAATTAGTGATCCCGTGATTCTGTGGTCCTGAAATGGGGCAGACCCCCATGGGGTGCAGGGTCCTCCAGCCAGCCTGGCTCACCCTGGGCTGGGTTTGTGCAGCTGGGCAGCCCCTGACTTCACAGCAGAACCAGACTGAGCCAGGGCCGTGCTCATCTCTAAGCCTGGTGCCACCTCCCCCCACTGCTCCCAGCACCTCAGGGTGGGTTGATTAACAACTGGGGCTTTGTAGCAGGAAAGAGATTGCCCTGCCCAGCCCTCTCCATCCCTCCCCGTTCCTGTTTTACCGGCTTTGCAGGTTTTCTGCTCACAGCCCTGTCCTTGCCAGGCTCTTGGCTCACCCTTGCTGGGAGAGGAGCAGCCAGGCCCTGCTCACCCACCATGGAGGTGGGAAGGGACAGGAACTGAGGTTTGGGTCTCTCCCAAAAGCAGGGTGAGCTGAACCTGCTGAGTTCTGTTTTGTGGGAAGTCAGGCCAGGGGCAGAGTAAAGATGAGCAGCATCTTTGACTCTCCAGGGCTTCAAGTGCAAGGCTGTAGAGGTGCGTGGGGAGTCTGGTCTTAGGTGAGTCTGTGCCTTGTTCTGGCCCTGGCTGAGAGAAGAAGCTGTGGGAATGGCACCCCTGGGAGCAGATGTGTCCCCAGCAGTGATGTGTGAGGAGAGGGTGGTTGTGGTTCTGTTTCTGATGGCCATAACTGCTTCATGTCGTTCAGGTGAGGGCTACCAACTCTGTGCTCACAGTGTGGCTTCTCTTTCAGGCTCACAGGAGATTCACATCGATGAGAGAACCCTCAGCCCCCACCTCAGCCTGTCGGAGGACAAGAGAACGCTGACCTTCAGTCCCAAGAAAGCCAAGGTGGACTTGGACTGCCCGGAGCGGTTTGACCACTGGCCCAACGCCTTGGCCACTGCAGCTTTCCACTCTGGGCTGTGTGCCTGGAAGGTGGGCGTGGAGCAGAGCTGTGCCTACAAGCTGGGGGTTTGCTACAGCTCCGTGCCCAGGAAGGGCTCTGCCAACGAGGGCCGCCTGGGATTCAACGCCGCCTCCTGGGTGTTCTCGCGCTACGACCGGGAATTCCGGTTCCTGCACGCGGGGCAGCCCCAGCCCGTGGAGCTCATCAAGGCCCCGGCCCAGATCGGGGTGCTGGTTGACTTTGCGGGGGGAGAGGTGCTTTTCTACGACCCCGACTCCTGCACCATCCTCTTCTCCCACAGGGAGACCTTCACGGAGCCCGTCTACCCCGTGTTCGCCGTGGCACACCAGAGCATCTCCCTGGTCCAGTGAGCAGGGCCTGAGTGTGACTGTGTGTGCTCTGCACTGTGCCCTGGGGGGAAAGGAGCCCAGGCAGGGCTGTGGGCTGTGTACAGTGTTCAGACAACACCTGCTTTCACACTACAGCTGTTCTTCACGTGTTTTACAGCAGCTCTCCTGTCCTCCTGTGTCTGCCGTGCTGGGGCGAGGGGTCAGGGATTGCCTGGCTGGGCCAACTGCTCTTAGGTGGAGTGTTTAATTTCTGCCTGACCAAGGGCAGCTTTCCAGCCTGGCGGGAGGCTGTGAAAAATGGGACAAATAGTAAGAGGTGTGTATGGAGAGATGGCAGGGAGGAGGCATGTGGAAAGGGAAATAACAGCTCTACAACTCCCTGACAGGACGGTGGAGCCAGGTGGGGCTTAGTCTATTCTCCCAAGTAACAAGTGACAGGACAAGAGGAAACAGCATCAAGTTACTCTGGGAGGGTTCAGGTTGGGGATTAGGGAAAATTTCTTCACCGAAAGGGTGGTCAGGCATTGGCATAGCTGCCCAGGACAGTGGTGGAGTCACCAGCCCTGGAGGGGCTTGAAAGGGGTGTGGATGTGGCACTTGGGGACATGGGTAAGTGGTGGCCTGGGTAGTGCTGGAGGAATGGTTGGACTTGATCCTAAAGGTCTTTTCCAACCTAAATGATTTTGTTAGTCTCTGATTGGGACCCAGCTGGAGACACACTTTTGGGAGTGCAGAGCACCATTGCAGAGCAGGACAGTGCAGGGAGTTGTCCCCTGCTGGGACAGGGGCACCCCTGAGGGGCTGTGGCTGCTGTCCAAGCAGGGGAGCAAGCAAAGAGCAGCAGAAGGAAACCAAACCTGAGTGTCACCAAAGGGAGTGGGGGTTGAGTTTAACATGGTGCAAACACAGGGAACTGATGGAAGGCAGGGAGGAAGGAGAGGTGTTGGCCTGGAGTTGAGCCAGGGAGCAGGACAGGGGGTTTAAAATGGTCATCTTTATTTCTCACTGCCCAAATCAGCAAAGTTTGTTAATTGTCAGTTTGTTAAGTGAAGTTGCCCAACTCCAGACTGTTCAGTCTACAGAGGGAGACCTGCAGCCACCTCCTGGCCACTCCTGTTGGGAAGAGGGGGATGCAAGGCTGGGGTACACTGAGGTGTGCAGGGCCTGTGCAGGGGTGTCCCAAGTGCTCTGTTTGGGCAGACCTTCCCTGGGATGGGGAGCCTGAGTGTTCTCTTCGAGACCTTCCCTGGGACTGAACCTGCACTTGCACTGGGGGATTCTTGATCCTCTCCCCAGGGTGACTGAGAAGGGATAAACCCCAATGTCTGCCTCCATCTCACCTGCCAGAACGAACCTCTGGAGTGTGACCCATTCCCAGCCCCGTTAGGGAAAGACAGCACTGCTGACACCCCCCCTTCTGGAGTGTTTTTAGAGCCGTGAAACAAAGCAGCAGCACCACTGGCTGTCAGATATGTTTTATTGCAGGAACAGCCGTCCTGCTCCGCAGGCAGCGCTGCTCCCTGTGCTTGATCCGCTCGCTGCTGTTCCCTGCCCCCCTGGCAGCAGGGAATCCCACACCAGGACCAGTTCAGCACCCGGCAGCAGCGCTGGGCTCCTCCAAACCGCAGCTACCCCTTCTCGATCCGGGCCAGGAGGTGGCTGAGGGTGGGCAGGACATGCTCGGGGGGCACCTCGGGCTCCGGGCCGGGCCCGGCCGTGTGGAGCAGGAAGCTGTGCATGCCCACGGCCCGGGCTGCCCGGTAATCCCGGGTGTAATCATCCCCAACGTGAGCCGCCTGCTCCGGGGGGACGCCCCCGAGCCGCAGGGCCTCCTCGAAGATCTTCCTGTTGGGCTTGGCGGCCCCCGCGGCCTCGGAGGTGAGCACGAACTCGAAGTGGTGCCGCAGGTTGCACTGCGAGAGGATGTTTTCCAGCCGGTTGTCGAAGTTTGACACGACGCCCATGCGGAAGCCGCGCTGGCGGCACCGGCTCAGGGTCTCCTCGGCCCCGGGCAGCAGCTCCCAGTTGTGGGAGCTGCAGTAGTCGCGGTAGAGCTTCTCTGCCAGCGCCGTCAGGGCTGCACCGTCCTGCACCCCCGAGAGCACGAAGGCCTGTTTGACCACGTCCACCCACCACTGCCGGGAGCTGAGCCCCTGCCCCCGGCCGTAGTTGGGGAAGCGGCGGCTCTGGGCCCCGTAGGCCTCCCGGAACGCCCGTCCCAGAGCCTCCGGCTGCACCTGCAGCCCCTGCGCCCGCGCCTCGGCCGCGTAGCTCTGCCCCACGGGCCGCCGCAGCCGCAGCAGAGTGTCCTTCACATCCCAGGTCAGCAGGCGCAGCCTGAGCATGGCCTCCGGTACAAGGGCAGCCAGGGACACGGGTGAGAGCCAGGCGCTCCGAGAGCGAGTCAGTGCCGGTCACATCGGAGGGGTGCGGGCACCCCGGCCCTCCGTCCGCCTCAGTCCCGGCGTCAGTGTCCCTCGTGGGGGGCTCAGGGCCCCGCTGGGGTCCGCACGGACACACGGCAGGGACGGAAAACCCTGCTGCGAGCGCCAGGGGCGAAGTCCGCCAGGCCGGGCAGCGACACTCCCCCCGCGGGCGGGGGCACCGGGGCCGGGGGGACGGGGCACACCCGGCACCGCACCGGGGTGTGCGGGGCACGCGGGGCCGGGCCCGGGGAGGCTGCACGGGGTGTCCCCGTGGAAGGGGGTGCGGGGCGGACCCGGGGTTCACCGGCCTCCGAGGGCTGGGAGTGCTCGCGGTGCCGGGGCCCACCTGCACCGCCCCCGGAAATCCCGCCCATCCCGGCACTCCCGCCCATCCCGGCACTCCCGCCCATCCCGGCACTCCCGCCCATCCCGGCACTCCCGCCCATCGCGGAATTCCCGCCCATCCCGGCACTCCCGCCCACCCCGGAATTCCCGCCCACCCCGGAATTCCCGCCCATCCCGGAATTCCCGCCCATCCCGGCACTCCCGCCCCGCGCTCAGGCCCGTCCCGCCGCCTCCTCCCGCAGCCAGCGCAGCAGCTGCGGCGCGAAGTAGGTGATGATGATGTCGGCACCTGCGGAGAGACGAGAGGCTGCAGCCGGCCCGGGGACACGCGGGGGACGCGCGGGGGGCACGGGGGGCGCAGCCTCACCTGCCCGCCTGAAGGCCGTCATCGCCTCCCGCACCGCCGCCTCCAGCCCGAAGGCTCCCGCCTGCGCCCCGTGCCACAGCATAGCGAACTCCCCCGAGACGTGGTACACGGCCAGCGGGTGCGTGGGGTGCTGCGGGGACACGGTCAGCCCCGCACATCAAACGCGCAGCCACAGCCCCCCAGTCCCTCCCCGCCAGGCAGGAGCTCACCCGAGCCTTGACATCCCGCACGAGGTCCAGGTAGGGCATCCCCGGCTTCACCATCAGCATGTCCGCTCCCTCCCGCACGTCCCGGTCCTGCCACGGGAACACGGCACACGGGGGACAAGGACAGAGTTTCCAGCGAGGCCCAGGCTGGTTTTCCAGGATGGTCTGCTGAGCCCCTCCGGGCCACAGGAGCCCAACTGTGGGCTGACACTCCCCTCACACAGTGCCTGGGCAACGCTGGTGGCTGCATGTCGCTGGATCTGATGTCCCATTACAGGGGCACCAACTCCGCAGCTCCCACTGCCCAGTCCTCAAGCACACACTGGGACCAGCTCTGGCAGGCTGATGGACCTCATGTTTCGTTTATCTCATGGAAAGGGAAGACCCTTGACCCTTTTATCCGGTTTGCCTCCCACCCCCTTTTGACTTTCTTGCTCTCCCCAAGCCCTGGGGTGATCACCCAGGCCCCACTGAGGGTGTCCAGCCCCACAGCCGTAACCCCCCGTGCCCCACTGAGGGTGTCCAGCCCCACAGCCGTAACCCCCCGTGCCCCACTGAGGGTGTCCAGCCCCACAGCCGTAACCCCCCGTGCCCCACTGAGGGTGTCCAGCCCCACAGCCGTAACCCCCCGTGCCCCCCACACTCACCACGGCGCGCTGGGCCAGGCCCCGGGCGCCGGGGGGCAGCTGGTAACACCTCCGGTCACCGAAGGCGGGTTTGGAGAGCGCGGCATCCCTGGAGAGGGGCAGGGCAGGGGGCAGGGAGTGAGGACCCCTGTGGCTCCCACCTCGTACAGCTTCAGGAACGGGAGGCCAGACAAGGTCAAGTGTCTGAGCCACTGAGTCAGGAAAATGGGGCACTCCTGAGCCACCTCAGCACCCCAGGATGGCTCTGGGAGGTCCTACAGGCCCAGGCTGGCCCTGAGAGCTGTTTCAACAGCCACTGCCCTCCCCATGCCCAGAGTCTGGGTAAAATCATGTCAGACTTTTCCAAGGCAGGTTCCTCAGGGATACCCTGCCAGGGTCAGGCTGTTCTTGGGACAAGGTCCAACAGCTGACTAAGCTGAAGCCTGTCCCTGAAGCCACCCTTTGGGACAACACTGGCTCCTGTGACTCCCTCCCTGTTCCTGGACATTGCAGGTGGCTCCGTCTCTGCCTGCCTTGCCAGCAGCACTGAGGAGGAGCAGGTGAAGAGGTAAAGGATGGAAGATCACCTGGGCAAGGTACAATTGTCTCCTTTTTGCACGGAGGAGTAGGAGGAAGGTGCTGCAAAGTGACCAGTGTGGCCCCTCCTGCAGCCCAGGCTCTGGCTGAGCCCCCTTCCCAAATAACTCTCTGGGAACACACTCCCAGCCATCCTGGCACCGGCTGGGCACACCTGGCTAAGGGACAGACCCACCTGAAGGGTCCATAGAAGCAGGAAGCAAACTTGGCACTGTAGCTCATCACGGAGACCTGCGGAGCAGAGCAGGGCCATGAGGGCCGGGAGCTTGGAGCCACAGCCACAGAGATTCCCTGCCATGGCTGTTTTATCCTCCCCCTCCCAGAGGCCTGGCACCTGCTGTTCCCATGGACATTCCTGTAGTGCTGCAGCTCCCTCCCCATGGCTGTGGCTCCTGCCCCTGGCACACACAGGTGCCCAGCTCACCTTGTTGCCCAGGTCGTTGGAGATCAGTGCCTGCTTTATGGCCCCGATGCGCCCGTCCATCATGTCCGAGGGGGCCACGATGTGGCAGCCTGCAGGGAAGGACAGGGATGCAGGGAAGGACAGGGATGCAGGGAAGGACAGGGATGCAGGGAAGCACCCGAGG